TGAACGGGGTGACGTCCACCGTCACTCCGTTGTGAGCCTGCGGGCTAACCGCGTGGAGTCGATCGGGATGCGCGTAGTGGTACGCATACTTGCCAAGGTCGACGACGAGTTGCCGGCCAAACTCGGTGAGCACGAACGACAGCTCATCAGCATGCTTGTGAGTGCACGAGTGAAACCAAGCGACCATGAATAAATGACTGCGAGTCGAAAGCTGCTTGACAATCGCCGCCCCGCCCTTGTTCATGATTGCGGGCGCGAGTCCGTCCTCATGCTCGTACTGGGCACGATGCGCAAACTCTTCTGCAGACGTATCGCCAACCAGCGGCATGGACTGCTCGTCGTCGGTTGTGAGCATCCACACAAGAGCTCGCCGCATCTTTTGCAGGATGTCCGCGCCAAGACTCGTATGGCCAAGCACGTTCGCCTCGTCGGCCACAGTTAGCAGGTTGATCATAGCACTTTGATACGAGACAGAGTGCTCCAGGTGCATGCCAGACGCAACGTCAATGGAAGCGCCAGCGTTGGCTCCGAAGCGATAGATGGCAAGATCGCCCCAGGCTGTGGTGTTGGGATGGAGCCACGGCAAGTCGCGCGAGATGAAGAACAGAGACATGTCGCTGAATAGCCCATGATTGTACCAGGCGTAGGTGTCGTTCGCAGCGAGATAGTAGGCATGCTCGAGCTGGCAAGCAGCGAGTGCGGCGAATTCGGTCTCGGACAGGTAATCGGGTCCTGCATGCGCGCCAAGACGCAGGAGGTTAATAAGTTGTGTTGCCCTTGAGCTGACCGCCATGTCGTACCACAGGTAGGCCTTGATCGGGAACTGCGGGTCTCCCTCCTTGCCTTTGGGAATGGAAGCAAACCGTTCTGGTCTGGTCGCGCCAAACTTTTCGCACCAGTCGAGGGCAAACACCTTGGCGAAGCGGACTAGCTCTGGCCTGTCTGGGTGGCTCTTGTACTCGAACAGAGGCAGTCCGACCAATTCTACAAGACGGCAACACAAATGAGAAAGGTATTCGCGAGTGCTTTCGAAGACTCTGGTCATCTTTTGCTCTTGTTTTGGCTCAAAAAAAGAAGACGTTATTTTGGCTTCGTTTGTGTACATGTGTGTGTTTTGTGTGTGTGTGTGTGTGTGTGTGTGTGTGTGTGTGTGTGTGTGTGTGTGTGTGTTACCTTTCCACGAATGAAACCACATCTGCCAGGTGCGATCCTTGAAGGGATTCATGTGCCAATCGATTGGAGTGGTGATGTCAACTTCCCGTCGATCGATTGTGAGCCGAAATTTGCCCTGCTCCAGAAAAGTGTTGAAAAGCGAAGTCGTGGTCTCGGACTGCTGAGAAAAGCCGAAGAGTACCGGATAGAATCGAGGACTCTCCAGCAGGCATTGGACTGCCTGTGGAACTGTCTCGAGCTCGGAGGCGTTGAAAGCTGGCGATCCAATACAAACACGGTCGGCTGGCTGTGGACTTGCACCAACCTCGATCATGGGGTCTTGTTGCGCCGCCTCCTCCTCGACCTCGAGCTCGTCGTCTTGATCATTCACCACCACTGAGCTTTTCGCCGCCTGAGCGGTAGGATCGATGACCTGGAGCAGATCCCGTGTGGGTTGTGAGACCGGCATTGGCTGCATGGCGACCGGCTCGGAAAACTCGGGCTGGATGGTGGCTTGAGTAGTAGCGACTTCAGGCTCCCACAGTGCCTCTGTGACTTTGACAGCATCGTTCTGGTGGCCGTTGAAGCCTTGAAGCAGCGCCACATAGATGAAGATTACTGCGACCACCAAGGCAGCTAGAACCGTCCCTCGGCGTCTGCGTGTTGTCATTTTATCTGATCCATGCAATCGCAACCAGGCCCAAGCAAAAGTCACAGAGCAAAAATCAAAGCAGCGACGTCGTGAGCCTACAGACGAGCGGACACAAAGGGCGTGATGGAAGCAAATTGAGGCTCAGATCGAGCAACTGCTCTTCGTCTGCGTTTGCTGTAGCATCCTGTGTTCCTCTTATCGATGGGAGCGTTAATCAAAGCTGCTCAAGACGCACAACGAAGGACGACGACGAAGCCCCAAGCCCCACAGATCGGTTTGACAAGTTGAAGTGGCGGCCATTGCAGCACCACGCTCCAAGCACGTTTCACAGGCACGTTTCTCCCACGCCCCATGCACGCGACATGATGGATGCCAGAAGGCATCGGCGTGAGACGTCTTTACGCGGCCCTTCAGCGCTGGCGAAGGAGCCAGCTGCAGTTGACGCCAAACTCATCAACGTCCATCACAGCAGCAGCAGCAGCACCAGCAGCACCAGCAGCAGCAAGCTCCAGAGACGACAAAGAACTGCAGACATGAGATGTCATATGCATCGCTGCACTCGAGCTTTGGAAAGTGGGTGGCGGGAGTGAAGCTCGGACTTACAGCACAGAAAAAACCAAGTGGAAGGAACCATGCACTGAGCTCGTGTTTTGGTTTGGGTCGAGAGAACCTGGTTTGGGTCGAGAGAACCTTTCGATCTTTCCTCCTGAAGAATTCTACACTAGATAATACGTCAAGCGCGTGGCGGAGGGGAGGAGGAAGAAAAAAGAGAGAGAGAAAGAGAAACGGGCAACCCAAAAAAAAAAAAAAAAAAAAAAAAAAAAAAAAAAAAAAAAAAAAAAAAAAAAAAAAAAAGAAGAAAAAGAAGAAGAAGAAGAAGAAAAAAAAAAAAGAAGAGTGTCCCTGACAACGCCTAAAGGCGACAAAAAACTCCCTCCGGTGCAATAAATTCCTGCCCCCTGCCCGAGAGAGAGAGAGAGAGAGAGAGAGAGAGAGAGAGAGAGAGAGAGAGAGAGAGAGAGAGAGAGAGAGAGAGAGAGAGAGAGAGAGAGAGAGAGAGAGAGAGAGAGAGAGAGAGAGAGAGAGAGAGAGAGAGAGGCAAAGAACGGTCTTCCCTATGCTGTCTTTGTGAAGCTGGATGAACTGTGCCTAACGTTTACACCCTCACCACGATTTCCGTGCGAGTGTGTGGCAGCAAAACAAGGCTGGTTGTGGGAGTGTCCTTCTTTTGT